ACCCAGAGAAGCAGTGATGCCAGAGATGGAGGTAGAGATGATGACTTGGAGAGATGGAGCAGCTGGAGACTCTAGACCCAGAGAGTGAGAGGGGCTGTGTGCTGATGACCGGGGAGCAGGCTTGTAGTGTATACCCTTTGGTTGGTTGATGATGCATAAAGGGGATTGTAACCATGGCAATGAAATATATATGATATATATGATATATGATAGGATGAATGTAAAGCTAATGTTCTCCCATGTAAACTATCACATAATTCACAATAAAACATTTTTAAAAAAGAGAAATTTACTCAACATACAATCTAAAAATAAATAAATAATCTTGACTACTCTCAAAGAAGGGAATGAAGATACCCCAGCCCCTTCACTCACCTCCAAAGTAATAGCTCTCTCCTGAATACATCTCCATGGGGATTACAGTGTGAACAGTTGAGGCCATGTCGTTATCCACTGTCAGACTCAGGTGAATCCTCTTGGCTGTGAGGTAAACGGAATGCCACTGTCCATCATTCAGTCCTACCCCTGGGAAACAACATCAGGTAAAAGAGATATCCATTAACCACAAGCCTGGTAAGTGCTGGGGATCAGTGTTAAAGATCATACCCAATAAATGAAGAAACATGAACAAAGTATGTGGAGGGAACTTATCCTGTTTGCATGGAAGGAGAGTGTGTGATCCATGTCCAGTCATGGTGAGCCCTGGGCAGTCTGACCATCTCCTCCTGTCAGCTGGCCAGGACACCTTCTAACTTCCATTGATGATACTGAACTTTGGGGGGGAAGGGGGAAACCGAAATACTGCTATGTCTAAAAGTCTCAGGATATATTAAAACATGCCCTATGTTATTTCCTTGCGTTTCCGTGTATAGCTGTTGTTAATATATTTTCATTCCTTCTATACTTTTTGTCTGGATACATTCACAGATGTTTTGTTTTTTTAGTGCTGTCAGGTCAGTTCCAACTCCTCGCAACTCTCTATAGGGTTTCTGAAGACTAGCTGGTGGGTTTGAACCACCCACCTTGTGATTAACAGTCCAATGCTTATCCTACAGAGCCACACCAGTAAGAATATTAATTAAGGTAAAATTCACAAAATATTTTGAGTGTGTGTATGTGTGTGTTTATGTAGACACACATAACATTTAGCAGATAGACAGGAAATGTGCCTAATATAAAAGATAATTTTTAGATGAGGTGATTGCAGTGATTTTCATTATATTTCACTTTTATATTTATTTTTCCAAATTAGCTACAAAGAACATGAACTCTTGTTGTGATCAGTAAACCAAGGTTTCTTATAAGTCTTAAAGATTATGATGGCTTTTCAAAAGCCATCACCACTACGAGTTTCTGTGTGAAGTAATTCCTCCTTTTGTAGCTGTTTTCCATGTAAGTGCCATGGAGTCAGTGTCTACTCAGAGTGACCCTGTATAGGGCTTTTGAAGATTTAAATCTTCACGGAAGCAGAAAGCATCATCTTTCTCTTGCAGAGCAGCTGGCGGGTTCGAATCCATGTGGTTCACTGTGGTCGCTTTTAGAAGGAATGAGTTTAAGTCACTGGGAGATGGATAACAACTATATGACTGTCTCCTCTCTTTTGTAGATTTCCTCCTCAGGTTCCACATTGAGTGAAAAGGCATCATAGTATTACTCCACAGATAAAGTTAGCACTCACTGTTCTCAATGGCCCAGAAGATCAGAGGGTCATTCCCCTAGGCTGTCCAATGCCTTAGGACACTGTTTCTCAGCATTACGTTCTGGCTGAGTGGTGTCAACCACTGGCCATGTGAATAGGGTTAGACTCACATAAATTCAGCCTTGAGAGCTTGGAGCTCACTATTTACAACCTATTAGTGAAGAAGAAAAAAGGCTTTTAAAGACTCAGTAAGGCTTAGTTTCTTAAAGAAAAGAGTAATGAATAAGAAACCTAACGTAGTGGATTTAGGTTCAATCTTTAGCTCGAATTTTCCTATCCTGTTGTTGTTAAGTGCTGTCAAATCGGTTCTGACCCATAGCGACCTTGGACAGGGTGTCTGAGGAGCGGCTGGTGAGTTTGAACTACCGACCTTGTGGTTCAAAACAACCTTGCAGTCCAGAGCTTATCCTGCAGTGCCACACCAGGACTCCATTTTTGTATAGAAAGAGCTTATTTTGGAATTGTTCCCCCTGGCCTCTATGTGTATAGGAATCACCCTAGATATTGTCAAATGCAGATTCTGGTTCAGCAGATCTGGTGTGGACTGAGATCCTCACTTTCCAGCACTTTTCCAGATGGTGCTAATGTTGACCACTGGACCACACTTTTAGTAGGTCTGCTGGTCAGACCTACCTCCAGTCAAGTCTCTGCAGAGAGGGAACATTGTGAATGAAAGTTCCAATGTGATTTGACACAAATAATCCAGGCACTGGAGTCAGGAAGAAGCTGGGTGATGTCTCCTCCTGAGTGGGGATAGATCTGCTGGTGTGTGATCCAATGGACCATGATGGCATACTTCAAACATGAGGACCCTGCCTCTGACTGTGGTCAGTTCTGTGCAAGATGAACTTGTCCTCTCTCCAGAGGCCAAAAGGACTTCACCTAAACACCTGTACTGAAAGAGCAGGCACTGCAATAATGGCGCATGGCTATACACAATACTCTGCAGAGAGGAGTCCAGGCTAGCTAAAGGAAGCAGGGGAACCCAGTGTTGTGAGATTCCCAAAGTCTTCATAAAATTCACACATCTATAGTTGTCATTAATTGTCCTGAATTTTCAAGTTTGGCTATTGTTTTTCAAAAATTCATAGTGTTTTTTTAAAATACGGTAGTCCTGAGGGATGAATCCCGAGGGACAGGATTGCCAGGCATTGGAAATCTGAAAATCAACATGGAGATAGGTAGAAAAGGCATTTAGCTAAGACATTTGATAATTTTATGACAGTGGGATTGTAAGTGGGTTGTTCTTTAGTTACCACTATTATCTGAGTCCTGTTGGTTTTATAGGATAAGCACTGGACCACAGGTCAGTTTGAACCTCATATTTGGAGGTTCAAACCCACCAACTGCTCCTTGGAAACCCTATACAGAGTTGCTATGAGTCAGAACTGACTCGACAGAACTTAACAACCACAATCAACTGATTGGTTTCTGCTTGGATTTTCATAAGAGTGACAAAGATTGACAAAATACTTTATGGTATTAATAATTATCTTGGACTGCTAATTAAAAGGATAATATTTTTATGCAATTATAAATGTCAATTTGCAAAGTTGTAAATTATGTTGAAAGATTTGCCTTCAAATTAAAACATTTATATATATTATAACTCAATTTAGCTCCACATTCAACACTATTTAACTTTTATCCAATGTATGAATCTCAATGCATATCCAATTTAAATCTCTAAGCACTAAGAAAAAAATAACAAACCACTCTTGCTTACTGGAAGAATGTTATGAATTCAACTCAAAGGTTATGAACAACATGAGTTTCTAACTATGTCTTTAAGTTGAATTTGTAGGTCCACGTAGGTTCATACGGTTCTTATTTAGTATTGTTGTTGTTGCTGTTGTTAGGTGGCATCAAGTTGGTACAGACTCATAGTGACCGTATGCACAACAGACAAAACACTGCCCAGTCCTGGGTCAGCCTCATAACTGTTGCTACACATAAACCCAGTGCTGCTGCCACTGGGCCAGTGCATCTCTCTGCACTCTTCTTCTTTTCTCTGACTCTCCATTTCCCAAATATGATATCCTTCTCCTGTGACTGGTCCCTCCAGACAATATGTCTGAAGTGTGAGAGACAAAGTCTGGCCATCCTGGCTTCTTAGGAGCACTCTGACTGTACTTCTTCCAATACAGATTGGTTTGTTCTTTTGGTAGTCCATGATACTTCCAACATTCTTCTCCAATACCATAACTGAAATACATCAATTCTTCTCCAGTCTTCCTTATTCATTATTCAGCTTTCCTATGCATATGAGGTTATTGAAAACACCATGGCTTGGGTCAGGCTCATCTTAGTCCTCAAACTGACATCTTTGCTCTTCAATACTTTAAACAGGTCTTGTGCAGCAGATTTGCCCAAAGTAATACATTGTTTGATGTCTTGACTTCTGCTGCTGTTGATGGTTGATACGAATAAAATGAAGTTTTTGACAACTTCAATCTTCTCTCCATTTATACAATTCTTGCTTATTGGTTCAATGGTGAGGAGTTTTGTTTTCTTTAAGCTGAGGTGCAACCCATACCAAAGGTTGTAGTCTTTAATCTTCATCAGTAAGTATTTTAAGTCCTCTGCACTTTCAGCAAGCAAGGTTGTATCATCTGCATATCACAAGTTGTTAATGAGTCTTCCTCCAATCCTGATGCCACAGAATTGTGTAATCCAGCTTCTCAAAGTTATTTGCTCAGTATACAGACTGAATAAGTGTAGTGAATGAATACAAGCCTTGTGCACACCTTTCCTAATCATAAACCAGTCAGTGTTGCCTTGTACTGTTTGTGCTACTGCCAGGTTCAAGCCGAACAAGGGAACAGGTTCCTCATGAGCACAATTAAGGGTTATAGAATACTCATCGTTTGCAATGTTGTCCATAGCTTGTCTTGATCCACACAATTGAAAGATTTTATATAGCTAATAAAGTACAGGTAAATATATTTCTGGTATTCTCTGCGTTCAACCAAATTCCATCTGATATCCTTTGTTCCATGTCCTCTTCTAAATCTAGTTTAGCTTGAACATCTGGGTGTTCTCAGTCAATATATGGTTGCAGTCATTTTTACATTATCTTTAGTAAAATTTTACTCTCATGGGATACCAATGATATTGTCTGCTGATTTCCTCATCCCATTGGGTCACCTCTCTTTGGAATGGGCAGAAATATGGATTCTTCCCAGTCCGTTGGCCAGGTAGTTGTTTTCCAAATTTCATGGCATAGTTGAGTGAGTACCTCCAGTGTCACATCAATTTGTTTAAAAATTTCAATGTGTATTCCATCAATGCCAAGTTCTAATTCTTTGTCAATGACTTCTATGCACCTTGGACTTCTTCCTTCAGGATCACTGGCTCTTGATCATAAGCTACCTCTTGAAATCGCTGAACATTGACCATTTCTTTTTGGTACAGTGACTGTGTATTCCTTCTATCTTCTTTTGATGCTTTATGCATCATTCAATAATTTGTCCAGAGAATCCTTCAATACCTCAAGTCAAGGTTTGAATTGTTTCTTCAGTTCCCTCAGCTTGAGAAATCCTGAGTGTGTTCTTCCCTTTTGGTATTCTAACTCCAGGTCCTTGCACATTTCATTATAATATTTGACTTTGTCTTCTCAAGCTGACCTTTGAAATTTTCTGTTCAGATCTTGTACCTATTTACTTCTTCCATTTGCTTTAGCATATCTACACTGAAGAGCAAGTTTCAGAGTCTTCTGACATACATTTTGGTCTTTTCTTTATTTCTTGTCTTCTCAGTGACTTTATGCTTTCTTTCTGTCTGATGTTCTGGATGTCACCCCACAACAATTCTGGTCTCTGGTTGT